CCACTATGCAGATTGTGCAGTTACTAACAAAAGAATCCATCGAACCGCTGGCGAAAAGGGACGGGGAGATAAATTATGGATTCACGAAGGTGATGCTAACACCTACAAGTCGGACGCCGATGCTGCAGACCATCTAGCATCGGAGAACGAGATATGCGAAGTAGAGGAAGATCCTATGGAGTCCTCGAGCATTGTGGAAAGTCTAGAGCAAGTTGAGTGTTCTTCCGGGTCCGAGCTTGCTGCCAGACTATCACTCTTGTAATCGAAAGAGAGCTTTAAGCATCTCTCAGGAAGACGCAGATATAACAATAGTCAATGCGTCTTCTACAAATTAATCTTAATCACAGACAAAAGAGCTTAAGCAGTCCTAATTAACGGTGTGGCTATAGATTAGCCTGAGTTTGTTCTCATTCAGGAGCCAAGGGTAAATGGAGGGCGTATTTGCGGATTGAGGACACGAACTATAAGCTAGTCATGGCTATTGTTAAGGTAAAGTCAGAGCCTCCATAATGGCAAGAAAGACCTTACGTTTTTATATTGCAACAACGACACAGCAGCAGTAAACTGGAACGGGAACAAGCAGTTGCCGGCTGGTGTCGTGCTATATGCCATACGAGGAAGAGTGGTGCCACTTCCGATGGTAAAAGAGGTGGTATAGGATAGCAAGGCATCCAGTGCATGACTTTACTTGGATGCGACTCAAAGGCACATCATACAGTTAATGCAAGATGAGTGTTTTTTAATTACCTACTATCCTCTAAGCTTCTGTTGTGCAATAGGGAAGTTGCACGTTTATTCAAGAAACTGACAAGAGTACTGGATATACACTTGTGTCAGAAGAAATATTAACAGAGTAAACCGAAGGAGAGTCCTCGAAGAACATTCTTCTCGGATCACCGTTATATTGAATGTATAATATAGGAAGGCCCGATAGGGGCATTGACTTCAGGAATCATAGAAACGAACTGGCAGGTGAGCATACAAGAGCTGGAAAAATGTATCCTATGATTCCACGTTCAGCCAGAAGTAAGGAAGATCCCGACATCCTCGTTAATCGATTCACGGAATCTTGCCGGCAAGTATAGAGTGTCTTGTCAATAACATGAAGTAGGGGTAGAATTAGACCGCCATGGTGGTCTCGCGAACTTAAAGATTTACAGAAGAATGCAAAAGCAGTTCAAGGCGAGTCAGGCTGGGATAATTACTACAACCTCCTTAGGTCATACAAAAGGAAGTTAGGAGAGCAAAAATTCTTGGAAATCTTTTGTAATGATATCGAGAACACGGCGGAAGCGTTCTCGACTTAGGAAAATAATGGCACAATCGATGCATAGTATCAGGTATCTTCAGAAGGGGCACTGCAATTAAACTATATCCGTCGCTTTGGAGGGAAGTTAAGGTAATATACTCCTAAGGCAGGCAAAAGCTCGCATACAAGTCCAAAGGATTTCAAAATTACATATAAGAAACAAACTAAACCAAAAAGTTAGCTGGTTCGCAGCATGCGTATTCTAAGAAATCTACAGAAACAGCGCTAAGCTCTGTGGTGGCTTAGATTGAAAAAGCTCTGGAAGTTAAAGAATACACTCTAATTGCCTTCTTAGATATAGAAGGAGCCTTCAGAATTAATTATCTGTTCAATTACGAGCAGGTCAATAATTTCAACGCTGGGAGCGTCAACGATGTGCAGATCTGTTCAAAGGGTACACCTAGAGGCGTTTTATCCCACTCTCTGGATCCTGACAATGATTAAGTTACTGTTGGATCTAGAAAAGAAGGGGGTACATGTTGTGGCCTACGCTGATGATGTGGCAGTTTCGGTTACGGGTAAATTCCTGAATACCTCACCCCTTATGCAAACAATCTAGATGATATAAATCGTTGGGCCGTATCGTGCGGACTAAACTTAAATGCTGGTAAGAAGGAGCTAGTATTGTTCACCACGTGAAACATAATGCTCCAATAGTTACGGCGCCAGTATTAAATGGTAACAGGCTAACAGTCGGAGATAAGGCAAACTATTAAGACTAACCTTAGACAGGAAGCTTTCATGGAACAAAACTTGGATGCTAGGGTGAAAAAGCAGCTACGTATTCTACACCTGTAAAAGGATGGTGGGCCAAATGGGACTAACGGCTCGGAAAGCTTATTGGCTCTACACAGTAGTTGTTGGACCATTCATGACATACGGAAATTGGTATGGTGGCCATAATGGAAAAGAAATACATGGTGAGGCGTATAAAAGTATACAACGAGCAGCCAGTTTATGCATTAGTGGAGCTCTTAGAACAACGCCAAGCCAGCCACTAAACGTCATTTTACATTTACTGCCAGTAGACTTATTCTGTAAGCATGTGGCAGCAAATCAGCTCTCAGACTGAGGGAATCTTCGCAATTAGTCGCCTGCAACAAGGTAAGTTCCAAGATACTTAGTAAATTCCCGTTTCTAACCACAACCACGGATTTCCGCAATCCAGTAGAATTTAATCTAAATTCGGTCTACAATATTGCTTTCCCTCCAGAGAGGAGTGGAAAAGGAACGAGGTGGACAGGAATGAGGGAATTAGCATCTACACGGATGGATCCAAACTAAATAATTAAATGGGAGGTGGAGTCTTTTCAGCAATATTAGACACCAAAATCGCGTTCCGTTTACCAGACATCTGCAGTGTCTTCCAGGCGGAGATCACAGCAATCAAAGAAGCCTTGTTGTATTGACATAAGGTGTACTCGATTTTTATGCTTGTACAAAAGGATGTAAGTATTATTAATAAATTAATTCGTTTTTCATTTCATTTTCTTTGTACTTATTTAAAAATTTAAGTAAGAATTTGACGCAAAGTTGCCGCTTTCTTTAGAGATGCCGCGTCGGCGTTAACCTTAGCGATAAAAACGGACAGCTCAATGATTTTTTTAGGGTTTCCCATTAAGTCAACACCCCTGATCAGCAATTTTTTATATGTAATATTCAAGTGTGCATAATATAATAGAAATGTTTTAGAAAATAGTGAATAAGGATAAAAATTAGGTAATCAAAAATATTTATATGCACGGTGTACATAAAGCGTACAAGAATTTGAGTGTGTGATATGAAAGAAAGTAAAGAAAATCGTGCCTCGTGTTCCTCATGTGAACGGAATGAGCGACACCAAAAGTGAATTGGCCGATAATGGGTGACGAAAAGAGTTCTCGTCTGAACGCCGTCAATGTATACAAATAACACTAGGTGAAAAGCCACTACAAAGGAATCTTAACATCAGGGTTGCATTTTAATCAAACTATCTAATTATGAGGAAATCAATTTTGTAATCACAAATATAATACACTATCACGTTTAAATCGTATTTTAAGGATTTGGGATATATTTCATTAGGAAATAATTTTCCATCATAATAAGCACCTACAATAATAGTGTTTTACCCAATTTACTCAGTATTTACTACCCATCTTATACAACACTGCGAAAAGCTTTAATGAAGCATTGTATAATTATGCAATGTATTGCAGTTTCTACCATCGTAAAGAGTAACTCTTTCTTTATATCTATACAATGATAAATTTTGCTTTATTGTTTAAATGAATTATTATGACTTGTATGACAATGATAAGTTCTGCTTAATTGATTATATGAATTTTCGCGGATATCCTACCGTACGGTCTGGTGAAGCGGACGGTAGAAGCGGTGGTGACTGTTCATTTACATTGCGCTCTCATAAGATAAGTGGTATCAGCTGATTTGGTCTACGGTTTTACGTCGGTCACTGTTTGTGCCATAACTCAGCAGAGGCGGCCATGTTGGTTTTAATGTGAACGTACGCCTCGGAGGTGGCGAAAGTACTGTGAATCATGGATAAAATGATCCGAAACTCTTTGATGTGAGAGAGCGCTGTCAAAGTCCACATTTTTTATAACATTTGACAATGGTGCCACAAGTGAAAGAAATACGTTCTGAGATTTTTTAATGTATTTTTTGGGTATTTTTCGGTTTTCATTTTACAGAAAAATATACATAATTAAAATTAGTTTAACAAGCTATATATCCTATATGACTTCTAAATATATGTACGTGTATATTTTAATCCCAAAAGATTTTCTAAATTAACTTTTAAAACTAATTTTAACAAAATATTTTAATATAATTTGAAACACTTTCAAGTTTAAAATAAGCTAAACATGAACATTTCTTAGTTTTTATATACTAAATAAACAAATATCTTTCGATGATTTATTCGGAAGTCAAAGTTTATATAACATTTGCTGGGAATTCTAGCCAAAATATGTATATACGTTGACAATTGCTACTGCTAAGCAAAAAAATACTCTGCGACAAAATACACGCTCTTTCTTAAAATCAAAGCTATATTAAGAGTCTTTAAATAAAGATTAGAAATATACGTAAAAGTCACCAAAAAATCTGATCTCACAAATTACCCACTGATTTTCATTTTATTTCTGCCGGATTTTTAGTGGTAGTTCATTGTTTTTGTTGTCATCTGTTCAGTAGCTAATGAACTCGTGGGTTTTTTTGGCAGCACTGAAAGTTCTTGAGCTCTCTCAGAAAGCAAAGATAGGAGTTTCGGATCATTTTATCTATGCTATGCTGTGAATTGGAAAGTACCATAAATCATATATGTATTCGTTAAGGAAATAACAATGAAAACCTTCAAGAATATTATCGAAACAAATGAGTTTAATATATTTATTGCTTTTCCTCACCACCTCTGAGGTTGCAATATAGGCGCGTTTTCGATCTTTTTTGGTTGTTCGGTGCCCTAGGAGGCCTATATTCACCTATATAATATATACAGTTCTAAAACAATCTACTTTTCATAACAGTTATAACTCGAAAAGATATATACATAAAATCAGGTACATGAATATATATATATATATAATATAAGTTGAAATATTCAACTTGATTTGAACAAAAACGAAAATAAATATATAAAAATCAGGCACATTCATAAACAAATATAAGTGAAAACAATCTACTTGTATTAATTTTAGCAAAAACAAAAATAAATATAAAAAAAAGTTAAAGCTTAAAGTTATAAATTTTAAAACATAACACGGCAACACACTGTAGCAGATTTCTGTCATTTGGAAGTTTTAGTAGTAGAATATTGGTTGGCAACCCGTACAAAGTGTGACTTTAGTAGCAGAATGTTGGTTGGCAACCCGTACCAAGTGGGATATTTTTGCGTGTGAATTAGTGAAAATCTTAAGATTGGTTACTTGTAGTTTTATACAATGGTACCATGTAAGGCTTGCATGTTTTTCGCTAAGTTCTGCTTTATTTCTTTACAAATATAGACATTAAATAATTTAAATAGAAGGAATTGTCCGTTATGGGAGTAACAGGTCTTTGGAAGTTGGTTGAGCCTTGTGGCAGTCCTGTTCCTGTTGAAACTCTGGATGGAAAAATACTTGCAATTGGTATATGAATACATCTTTATCAAAAATAATATTAACATCTAGTCTTCATTTAGATATATCCATTTGGCTTCATCAAGTTATTAAAGGATTTCAAGACAGTAAAGGTTCCTTGTTACCACATGCTCATTTGTTGGGTCTTTTTCATCGTCTGTGTAAATTATTGTACTATCGTATACGTCCGGTGTTTGTATTTGACGGACTGGTACCACAATTGAAACGTGATACAATTGTGAGTACATAAGTATGCATATATGGGTACATACAAAAACATTTAAAACATATACCTATGGTACATATATGAATTATAGGCTCGAAGGCACCACCAGCGTGTTAAGATAAACAATGAAGCGAATCGGATACAGGCCCTACTGCTTGAATCACTTGCTAAAGAAAAAGTAGTGCAACAAGCATTGGGAGTTAATGCTCAATTATTAATGAAATCGCCTAACAAAAGAAAAATTAGTCATAATGAAAATGAAAAAGATGATATTTTCAAATTACCTGATCTTCATGCCGAAAAAGAATCTAAGAAAGACCAGGAATACACAGATTCAAGCCTTAGTTATTATTCAGAAGTGTCAGAAGCTGAAAGCTCCATTGATGATTCTAATCCTTGGCGGGAATATAATGCAAACATTCAAGCAATAGATGTGCGTAGTGAACATTTCAAAAGTCTGCCACCTGAAGTTCGACATGAAATATTGGTAGATATAAAGGATACGCGAAAGCAGTCTTCATGGGGTCGTCTACATGAATTACCTTCGAGCAGTAAGGAATTCAGTTCTTTTCAAATGAAAAGACTACTTAAGCGCCGCGCTGTTCAGGAAAGTATTGAAGAAACTGAGAAAGAAATAGGGGAACGAGCTTTAACTTTTACAGATTTACAAAACTTTTTTACTGAAGAGGGAATATTAGATCGCGAAAATATACATCAAAGTATGTATTGAAGATATGGGTCGTGTTTAATACAATTTTTAAAATGTAATAATTTCAGACGCAAAACCAGTATGCTCCGATGAAGCCGTCCGTTTTATGTTAGTGAGTGATTTACGGAAAACACTATTGAAAGACGATAAAAATAATGTATTTACTACGGTAAATGATAACGCTGTGGAAATAAGTGTATCTGAGGATAAAGTCGCACACAAATTGGAAGAACCTAAAAAAAGGAATAAAAGCTTTGAAAATCGATTAGAGGGAATAGATATAGAATACAATGATAATTTAGCATTAGCTATTGCTCTCTCAATGGAAGATGGAGCGGAACCAGTCTACAGTAATGAAGACTATAAGTACAACACTAATGAAGACCTTAAATTGAACCGGCAACAACGTAATCAATTTAAAAATGCCGCGATTGGGCCTGCTCGTGCTTATATGATTGAATATGGTGGATGGAATGACGAAGAGGTTGTTGAAATAATGGAAAAGACGCAAGTGGATTATGATAGTGAGGATGAGGATTTTAATGTTTCTAAGGGAATCGTCTCCCCTTTCAGTTATATGTAAGTAAAGTTTCGCAAATCTCAGCTAACTAAATAATTTTTGCTTTTAATATTATGACCAATATATTGCTTACAATTATTTGCTATAATATTTTGTTGGAATATCCGCTCATCAAATATTTATAAACTAAACGGAAGGAAGCGTCGAAGACCCTATAAAATATATACATAAATGATCAGCGTGACGACCTGAGTCGATTTAGACATGTCCGTCTGGTCTGTCTGTCGGTATATACGCGAACTAGGAATTAAGGAATAGTTTGTTTTTTCTATATATTTTCCCGAAATTTTGGCATGGATCATTGTCTAAAGCAATGGTACAAATTGCTCAGGTCGGACCACTATAGCATGTAGCTGCCATACAAACTGTTTGATCCAAATCAAGTTCTTGTATGAAAAACTTTTTTATTTGACAAAATATCTTCACGAAAATTTCTACGAATTAATTTCTAAGACATCGGTACAAATTTCTCGGATATGACCACTATAGCTGCTATACAAACTGATCGATCAAAATCAAGTTCTTGTATAAAAACTTTTATGTTTGAAGAGTTATATCTTCGGTATAATGGGGTATATAACTTCGACAATGTTACTTCTTCTTGGGGAACTCCTTTTTGCGTTGGTGGCCCTCAGCCGCGCTTTAAAAAAATAACCCTGGTCGGTCCAACATCGGAGTGTACCAAGGTATTTTCGCGTAGAACTCCTTTTTGCGTTGGCGGCCTTCGTGCACGCTTCAAAAAAATAACCTTGATCGGTCCAATACCGGGGTGTACCAAAATTTGTTGGGTCCTGTATTTGGGGTATAAACTCTCTTTTGGGTTTTTTGACATTTATGACCCTTTTGTTATTGTCAAAATTAATAGAATTGAAGAATAATTTAAATATTGAAATAAAGCTATTTTTGCATCGTATAATATAAAATAAATGTCTAAAAACAAATTAGTGAAGTGTTAGTGGATATAAAAGTGTATAATTCATTTTAAATCGAAAAAATACGTACTCTAAATAGTTGAAATTTTTAACTTTAAACGTAAAAATCTCTAAAGCTATAAGTTTCCCGCGGATATATCTATATATATTCTTGATCTGGAGGACCTCCTCTATCCGCCAATACCCCCGAAGTTCAGGGATGGTATACTAAAGCCGACCCTATATTTTTTCTGGATGTTCCTATTTTTGCATACTTAATAAATTACAACATTCACTAAAATTTAAAAACTCCATAGATAGAATATTTGTTTTATATATATACACTTATGAACAAAATAATAGATGTACACATTTTTATTTAATAACTTTGAAGTATTAGCAATTAAAACAATTTTGTTTTAGACATATTTACGCTTTACTTTATTAATCATAAATATGTCGAAAATCTTTCATTCCGAATTTTAAAACTGGGTGTAAAATATTTCTAAATAAAATAAAAAAATTCAAGTTATCCTTTTTTCGGTCCATGGGTTTTGGATAACCTATTTATATCCTCCGTGTTTTTTCACTAGTTTTCCAATTTTATTCGGCATGGATTAAATTAATTTTTGGCAGGTCTCTCCTCTTAAGGTCACTTTACAAGTTCTCAATTGGGTTGAGATGAGGGGATTGACTAGACCATTGCATACAGGTCACATTTGCATCCCTGAACCACTCAGATACCAACCTCGATGTATGTTTCGGGTAGTTATCATGTTGATAACGCCATCTCAGGGACATGTTTTTTTCAGCGTATGGTAGCAACACGTTTTGCAAAATGTCTCTGTTCTCAATAGCGGTCATTTTGTCCTTTATCCAAAATAACGGACCCACACTTTGCCAGTATAAACATCCCTACACCATTATGTTTCTGCCCCCATGCTTAATTGTCTTCTGGGTGTATCTACAATCAAATTTTTCGCCTTTAGGGCGACGGGCAGTTCTTTTATAATCATTTTCATAAAAATTAATCTTAACTTCGTCACTGAATAAAATATTTCGCCACTTTTTTCTCCAGTGGGACCGCACCAATTTTTCTGTTTAGCGGCAAAAGCTTTTCTCTTCTGTATGTGAACCTTCCTTAGGAACTTTTCTGGCTTTACGTCCCGGTAGATTATCGTTCACTAATCGAGTCCAACTTCTGCTGCATTTCGCCGTAAAGTCACAAAAGGATCCTTTTTTGCCATGGCGATCATCAATCAGGCCAGTTTTTCTTGTATTTGCAATGAATTTATACGTTTTTCCTTCATCACGCAATTTTTTTTACCAATCGATACTCTACATCGTTAAATTGGCTTTTACGACCCATTCTAAATAATTTTTTGTTTGTAGCTTATGGTGTTCAAAGGAATATAAAATTACAAATACTCCAATACCTACATTAATATGAAAAATACTTCGAAATAACTCTTATTTTTTAAAACGTATTACTTACACCTATTTTATTGGCCAACCAAATTTAATGAAGTAATGATAACTTATCACTCAAACGTAAAATTAACAAAAACAATGTATTGCAATTTGTTGATACTTATGCACTACTCTTTCGCTTTCATTGTAAAAATGTAACGGTATCAAAAAAAGTAACAGTTACAAAACCAATTGGCTTAAAAACATTAATAGCTAAACGCACTCCTATTATTTTATCCATAAAAATATGTACTCTCTTGATCTATTTTGGTTTACGTATCATATCGTTTAAAAAGATAAAAATTCGGGGCCATTCCGGTTAGATACATATGTTATAAATTTAAAAATAAATATGTATATAAAATGTTTATGTCACATATTAATTGAACTAATCCAATATTTGTAAAAAAAATATTGCCCTTTATACATGAAAATAATTGTATTTGTTGTACTTTTGAAGTTCTACCCAATATACAGACAAAAATTCAAACGATGTAAATCCTAGCGAAACGGAAACGTCTAAACAATCCTTCGAAGTATCCAACCAAGAGATACGTCTACGAATAAGCGATAGCTCAGAAACTGACTCGGATTTAGAAGTAGTTGTCGATAATATACCAGTGACTTGTAAAAACGTGTCCAATTTAGAAGTGGTTATAAATACTCAAGACACAATATTACCTGAAGACGATTTATTTACAGATATTTTTGGTTCAAAAGAGGAAAATGCATCTGAAATTGTTGCAGAAAAATTTTTCACTGAACGTTCCAATGTTTCTAGAGAATGTTGTGAAATTATCATACTGGACAGTAACCAATTGGAATCTATTGATAGGTGCAGTAATGACAATCAGGAATCAAAAAACGAGAAATTTTTGCAAACTATTGAGCCAAAAACTACGATAACAATGGAAAATATACCTACAACTACTCAAATGTCTTCTATATTCGATGATCTCAAAAAACAAGCAAATGAGGTCAAAAACATAAATTTAGATGATGTTAATATTAATGAATCAAAAAAAAAGCTTGTGTCGAATAATGAAATTATAGAAATATATGACAGTGATGACCAAAGGTTGGAACATGTAACGCCGAGTAAATCACCTAAATTTAGAACACCTACAAAAAACAAAAGTATTAATGAATATTTTGAAACTAAGTATGTAGTGAAGCGAACTCCAGAGAGTAATAAAAAGAAGGATGAGAAACAAAAATCTAATGTAAAATCCCCGTTTTTTGTGACGAAGTCAAACTCATCCCACCGAAAAAAAAACGTTGTAAAATTGTATGAGTCTTCACTTCATGGGCAAAAGCTCTCGAAAGCATCCAAAACACTATTTGAAAATACCAGTAAATCACCTGAAAAGGAAGATGAGCTAAAGAAGGAAGTTAGTGCGAATTTAAGTAGTGAGGTTTGTATGCAGAAAAATGTTGATAGTAATACTTTTAAATGTGTAATATGCAGGATTTACTAAAAACTGCATCTAGCGTTCTCAAGGAGCAAAAATCCACCGAGCAACTAGAAGTATTAGCTTCAGAATTAGCCAAAGAACGACGAGATTTGGAAAATGAACGTAACCGACAAGATCGCATGGGCGCAGTAATTAATCAAACTATGCATTCTGAATGCCAGGAGTTACTGAGACTATTTGGCATTCCTTATATTATCGCACCTATGGAGGCGGAAGCACAATGTGCTTTTCTTGATTCAGCACGTTTAACTCATGGTACTATTACTGATGACAGTGATATTTGGCTATTTGGCGGACGAACCGTATACAAAAATTTTTTCGAACAAAATAAACACGTTTTGAAATTTGAGGCCAATAAAATTAGCCATGCTTTTAACTGTGACCGTGCAAAATTAATACAGTTAGCTTGTTTAGTAGGTAGCGATTATACAACAGGTAATAATAATATTATACTCAAGTGCCTTACATATTTAATTCAATATAGTTTCTATTCCAACAGGTATACATGGCATTGGTACTGTTACAGCTCTGGAAATTTTGGCAACGTTTTCGATTACAACGAAGCCTGCCAAAGAAGCTTGTAGCGAACCAAGTATAACAACTAGCTCCGTTCTGTCGGCGTTATACCGTTTTCGAGACTGGTTTAAAATGCACAAAGATTTAACACAGCCTACCGGTAGTTCTACACGTCTTAACTTACGAAAAAAATTAAAAAACATTGAATTAAGTGACAACTTTCCCAATCCTGCAGTAAGAAAAATATTGAATGTGTAGATATTGGAAATTAAATAATTATATACATATATAATAGGTCATTGAAGAGTATTTGTTCCCAACAATTGATGATAGTAAGGCAACATTTAGCTGGGGATATCCCGACGTTGAATCTATACACGCTTTCACGAAAAAAGTTTTCGGTTGGACAACAATAAAAACAGATGAAGTGCTTAAGCCTGTGCTGAAACGAATCAACAATAAACAAACTCAATCCAGTATACGCAACTATTTTACGATAAAAAGTCCTTTAAAGCCACCTGACTTAAAAGTAAGCAAGAGAGTACAGAAAGCGATCGATACAATGGCTGGAAAATTGAATGAAAGCGAAGCAGAAGAATCTGACCGACGTAGAAAAATTCAAAATGAAACTATCAAAACCCATAATGAGTTGAATAGTTCTGTTCAGAGTAATTCTGCATCAGATGTTGCAAGCCCAAGTTCTGTATTAACGAAAGGAATGTGTAAACGTTCATCTCGCCTACCGGAGAGCAATCCAGTGATCCCACAACGAGAAAAGTATAAGGATATAATGCGAAGAAATAGAGAAAGCGCAGCTGCTCTGTTGAAGAAGTCTACTTCCCAGATATCATCTAGAAAAAATACCAAAAAGAGACGAGCAGAATGAAATCGAAATTAATATATGTATTTACTATTTGCTTGGTACTTGAAACTAACTTGTAAAGAAAATAATTAAATTAATTGAATTTGGCATTTCAATCTTTTTCTTGTTTAAAATCGAAAAGATCACGATTTAGAATTTTTTTATTTAAATCACCAATAAAATATAAAATTAATACTTTATATTTACTTGTTTGTGGGGTTTAGTATGAAAATATATTAATGTGTAGAATGATACTAGAAATAGTAATTTTTAAAATTATAGTATATATCAAAACTAGATTGATTTTTTTCTTTTAATAAGTATAAATTTTTTACTTTTTCAGTTAGTGTATGCTAAATGAGTACAAAAAGTTATCCCTACAACCGATAAAAATTTTGTTGTTCAAATTGCAAGGAGTTGAAAAAATCTCAGCATTCAATTTATATTTTGTAATCATCTCACCAGTTTCGACGTGCAAAAGAGCAATTAATCCACTGGTGGAGCAACATAACACGTACTCAGCGTCTTGTAAAGAAATTGCTAAAGGTGATGCAAAGATATTCCTTTCAAGTTGATTTTTCCATATCAAATCTAGTTTACACGTTGTCCGACGCCCTTTCTCAACTGAGTTTTGATACCGTAAACAGTAAACATATTTATCGTAGGAACCGAACAAGACTTTTCTCTTACTTCCAATATCCTCTAAAATAGTCAATGCAGAAAATATAAGAGATCCAACACAAAATGTCTCTATCTAAAATATTGTATGTAAGTATAATTCAGTAGGTAATTTGTAATAATAGCACAAACCAATTCGCCGTTTTCCGCGTTGCAGATGTGTACTTTTCCAGAAACTTCAGCTAAAATAACAACGTTGTCTTCGCTAATTATAACCGGTGTCGAAAATATCGGTGAATCGCACTTTCTCAGCCACACTAATTCACCAGAATTTAAAATCATCTTGCAGTAACTCCCATCCAGGGTACAAATAATCATCGTGTACGAGTTAATAGCAATAGGGTTGGCAAATATTCCTTTCGTTCCGATTTTTTTGCGCCAAATATAATTATTTGTCTTAAGAAACGACATTTTAATAGAATTTACTTCAGTCCATAAATGACTTACCTTCAAAGAAATACAAACAACATTAAACTCTTCGCCATATGTCGCTATAACCAGTCCAGCTGAGCAGGCCAAAGGTTTAGCTTTAATCAGTCCACCTAAGTCTATACTCCAGTAAATGTGGCCATTTGTAAAATTGAACGCGTATAAATTTTGATCATAACAACCCACTACTGCTAAATATGAGATACTTGCATTTGAAACAATCTCCACTTTGCATTCGATTCTGTCTGGCAATTCCAGTACAGCAATAGGACCTCCTAGATTTATGTCAAGTGTTGTTAAAATATGTGAATGTGAACCAACGCATACCCATTTATTACCAACAATAGAAGGTGCTGAGTCAACACATTTATTTAGACTAGTGCGCCAAAGAAACTTTAACCGTTTTTTTGCATAACTGCTTGAATTTACTGACAAAGTTTTAGATAAAACTTGTGCTTTTGATAACGTGCACGAAGCAAGGAAATTCCTAATCAATTGTAGTGAATGCTGGGAACTTACTAGCATTCCTAATAATTCATTTTGATCGCATGGGTCCAATATCGCTCCAATACGATTAACCAACGTAATAGCATGGAAAGATGTACCACCTGCTGCTATAAACGACATGTTTAGATCCAGCATTTCTATAGATGTGTCAGTGGTTCTTGCGTTATTTTTCATCAAATCGACTCCCAAAACTTCAGTAATAAATCTGTGAAAAATTTCCTCAGAACTTGCCGAAATCGTATAGGTTTTGTTGGTAATTTTTTGTAATAAGCAATGTCTATCTATTTTCCCATGTTCGTTTAAAGGGAATGACGAAATAAATTCTATATCGTCAGGTCGTTCTATTTCCAACAAGTTTTCCATTAAAAGGCGACGAATGTGCATCAATTCTGTTCCATCAACATTTGAATTAGCTTGCACAAAACAAACTACTTTACGCGTTTCTTCATGCCAAAGACATTTAACATTTCTGCAGTTATTATTTAAAATGTTTAGAATCCTTTGTTGTAGGTTTTCTAAATTAAAAGAAATATCACATAATTAATTCTTCTCAATACCATAAACTTAAGATTACCTTATAAAATATATTTAATCATGTGTATTTTCCTAATACTCGAAATCATTTATAATTGTAAACGAAGTCTCTGGGAACGGATAAAGTAAATTGAAACGAAACCAGAATTGAGGTTATGAACTTCGGTTCGTTTACAAATTTGGATTGCCTTACATAGCTACTTTAGGAGGAAGAGCGAAAGTCGATGATAAAAGAAAAAAGTGCAAATAAAATAAGGAAACAAAACTAAAACAATTGCAGAATCTTTACCTCAAATGATAGAAAAAGCATAAATAAACATCGACAAAGAGTAAAGCTTTTTCTGACGGCAACTCCGTAGAAACCTCGTAGACTAACATCAAAGAATTTTGCTGAATAAAAAACAATAGTACTGATTTGTGAAACAGGGTAACAGAGACAAAGGAATGAACCCCATTTAAATAGCTTTCAGAACATTCTATGTCTATGCTAAGGTGTGAAGTTGTATTGAAAATTCGAGATTATTTAACGATGTACATATATACATACAGTGGCGAGAAAAACAGTTCGGATGTGCGCCACTTTTGCATTCTAAGTGCTGTAAAATGTTTTACGACAACTCAAATATTATCAAATTTTCAGGATATGTTTATGTATTTGTTGTACAATAAAATATTTGAAGTAAATTTTCATTCACTAAAACAAAAGAGAAATACAACAAAAACTAAATTAAACTCATTAAGTACAGTTTTGCTCGTAAAAAGTAAATGGCCTAAAATTACATTATTTAATATTTGGTTCAAAGACCTTTGTGTTTAATTACATTTTTTACACGTCTCGGCATACTTTCAACTAAATTCTATACTATTTTCTTTGGTATGCTTCTCCATTCGATTTGTACTCTGCTCCATAGGCTCGGCGCTGTTCGGTATTTGCACAATCTCCTCTTTACAATAGCCCACAAATTTTCAATGAGGATAAGGTCGGGAGTTTGTGCTGGCCATTGGACGAGTTGAAATCGTTGACATGACTGCCGCCACCATATTGAGATTCATATAATAAAATAAATAAATAAAACTCTGGATAATAGTATGTATTTGTGTCAAAAATGGGTTGGATCGGATCAATACTTTCTTTAATATAAAATTTTGACAACAGCTGAAGTAATTTCCCGGGCTTTGATCCTTGCAAGTTGCGAGGGTATAAAATGTTCGGTTACACCCGAACTTAGAACTTCCTTACTTGTTCTTAATTCGGTTTCTACGTAGGCTTCCAAATGCTCTATCGGATTAGGATTCGGGCTTTAGGCTAGATATGGTAATACTTTTACGGCATAATAAAGCTGAATAATAAAGTTCTTGACGATCACGACGACTAAAAGTTTCTGACAGTTCCATTTCGCTGCTCGTGTATGTGGTGCTTTAAATGTCAAAATATTTTAATTTGGGTAGTGTATTGTCTGGACAACGAGCCGGGTTCATAATTTTAATTTATATTATGACAAAATCAACAATTCCCGTGATTTCTAATAAAAACATTTTTACTATAAAGTAGATGTTTGCTTAGAACTCATTTTGCGCTGATTTCTCGTTATGACTTACAATTAATGAAACTATATGTGAATGTTTCTTAAATCTATTTAAGAGGCACACCTAGTGTGACCGCATAATACATAATTAATGTATATACACAAACAGCGAGTTTTTAGCTATTTCCCAAAATTAAAAAAACCCTCCACTTTTAAAGTGATTACATTGGCTCAAAATAAAATAAAATACGAGTATTATTAAACTGTAAGGTATAACGATACGATTGTTAAGAAATTGAAATTTAACAAAATGGCAAAAATGGGGATTTTGCTAAAATTACATTTTACATAATCAAAAAACTAGGAGGTCATTGTACAGAGAAACAATACAAAATAAGCGATCGGATGATTTGTCCTCGAGTTACAATTGCAGCCAATTTGAAAAATGTAGGTTTGAGAAATAGACGTTTAAAGGTAAACTGATTAAGGTAATTGAACTAACTGACTACTCTTTAGAAGGCGTAAGTCAAAAAATGTTTCAAAAAATCAGTACCCAATGCTAACGTTACAATTTTGTTTGTTTTGAAGTGTTGGTACTTCGGTAGACAGTATGTTAAAAAGTATTTTATATTTTTTATAAGGATAGATTTAGTTGATTATTTTGTGTACTCGCTCTTATTGGGAAAAAAACAACGGAATGCCAATCAAAATTACTTGTTAGTAATGTATTTTTATAATAAATTTCATTTTAAACATAATTAAAAATCTAGTTTTTTTATTTTTCATTCATTGTTAAACATATTTTAGCGTCTTTATGTATGTATACTGCTTTGCTGTTTGTACAAGTGACATGATTCAATTATAGTTATAAGGTTGTGTCGATATCCCAAAAACCACAATTTGCAAAAGTAATAGGATCCATAATGTCAAAATTCGCCATTTTGCTTTGAATTGTTCCAAAATTAAATTTTTTACTATGATGTCAACCAATGAAAATGCGTTTTTTGAGTGATAACTGAATACGAAGAGATTGTAAATCACACATCATCAAATTGTATACAGAAAATTCATAAGAAAAACTGTTTTTTTTTTTTTGACATTATGGATACAAAAACTTCTTTCGTAAGAGGAAGCACGCTCCGCATCGACACAAACTTATATAATTTAAACATGGTTTATTCTTACAAAAAAAATTTTTAATCCATGTCAGTACCTTTTTTTGTTTTCTCATGAATTTCTTGTTTACAATTTGATGATAATGAAAAACACATTTTCATTGGCTGGAATGTTTAAAAAATATATTTTTGAATGATAAATCTTTTGACAAATTGTTGTTTTTGAGCTATCGACTAGCTCAAGGTATGGGTTTAGCTGATTTAAAGGTATTGATCAAAATATACAAAAACAAAATCATATTAGATGTAGCCCTTAATTCTACGTCTTAGGCGGTATATTTGATAAAACAAAAGATATGTACATAGATTATATTAAACCTCTTACCCAGATTTAGTTGAACACCCATTCGCTTAATAACGCTATCAGTCCTGCCTAAATAAAATACTCTCCCATATTCATCACGGAACACCATATCTCCAGTGTTGCGGAAACGCATCTTTTTATTTTTAGGTCGTAACATACCATCCGTGAAAGGAATGTAACACACTCGAGTTGCACTACCAATTTTTAACTCTCCTTCGCACGATCCAAATAATTCCTTTTCATTTGTATCGGTTATGCGTAAAGTAGTCTGATCATCTAAGGCAATACCAATAGGAGCTCTTTCCCATTGTTCATTAAAATCGCACTCATGTATTGTGCACCAGCAAGACACTTCGGTTGTACCGTAAATGTTAAAAATTCGTTTTTTTAAAGGTATCGTCGGCAACCAAGAATCCCATTCCTTTCTGCTAGGAAAATCTTCTCCACCTAAAATTAAACATCGCAATGAATTGTTTTCATGTAATATGACTTCTTTTATGATAGCTTCTCCGAATAGTCGGAAAAAGGAAGGAGTTGCCTGCAAAATAGTTGTTCCTTTTAAAACCTGTTCACCCCGAGGTTTAGGCCATAGTATATTTATATGTTTTTTGGAATTCAATCTCAATTTCGCAGGACATATTAATAAAGACGCTCCTGAAATTAGTGCCAAAAAAAAATCTACAACAAAAGGATCAAAAGTGGGTGGCGCACACAAGTATATTACATCATTTTCCGATACTTTTAACCGCGTACTAAGGAATATTGATATTAGAAAAATATAACTTTCATAATTTGTAAACATACCATAAAGTTAAAATATTTGGTGCCACACAGGAATACGGTACTTGTACGATTTTTGGAAGTCCTGTAGTTCCTGATGTTGACACACTATAGCAAAGATCACAATCCTCATCATATAATTTTCTATCCATAGATATGTTTTGAAACAAGTACATTTCATTATCCATAATATTCAAAATACCAATTTGTTTGCAATTTTTGGTATCATCACATTTTAGGTCTGTTATAACGTATGTTGCACCATGTGCATTTAACACATTTTCGAAGTTGTAATGTATATTTGTAAAATGCAAAGGAATAAAGTAACAATTGTAGTTGAGGATGCTGCAATAAATATTGTAAAAATTTTTAACATAATTCTTCAATATTTCCAAATATTATTTCACCTGAGGATTAGAGCAATATTATTAGGTGAATGACCTAGTATTCGCAATGCAATGCCTGTATTAGGAGTTATGTTATAATGGTCAAATTGTTGCAAAACACCGGTTACTTCCTTTAATACTACGTCAAATGTGTATGATAGTTCTTCATATTCTGTTCGATAAATAATAAACACTTTGCTACGAAATTTCTCCAATCTTGCGTACTCATATATTTTGCCCATTTTACAAAATATCCGTAGGCAAGGATGAAATCAGAGATAAGAGACAAGGATGAAATAATGCGAGACTCTTTGAATCAAGAGAGAGCTGTCAAAACCCACATTTTTTATAACATTTTCCAATCATGCCACTGTCGAAAGAAAATGGATTGGGTATTATAAAAAAACTTTTGGGTATTTTGCATTTCGATATTATTTTTAGGTGCTCCGTCCCCGAGTAGGCCTATATAACGCATATAGGTACATCCCTATATACTTGTATTTATATTATACAATTTTTAAAAAATCATATAACATAAAAAAATAGCATATAAATAAAAAAAATTATAACAAAGAAACAATACAAGTCATAATAAAAGATCATGGTTTTATAATGAACGTTTTAAATTAAATTAACAAATAAAATTTAGTTGCACGTTATTCAAAAGTATTTGTGTCGTTCCTTGAAATTTCGTTTCGCACTGTCTTTGTTAGCTATATTTAGCGGGTTTATTTCTGGCATTCCGCCTTTTTTGATATCAGCTGTTCGAAATTCCCTGATTTTAATAATCAGGGAAAGAGAATAACAGAAAAATCAGCGAAAATGAGAGAGTCTCGCATCATGTCATCCTTTAAGAGATGCCCAAATCGTCTCTCACTGGAAATGAGAGCGCAATTGATAAACGTCAAAACATACTGAACTCAAGCAACTGTCAAAGTTCAGCTCTGCTTTTACACACAGATTCTTTTGTAACCCAAAACGGTTTATTGAAGGCGAGGGGACGACGAGGAAAGACGAAGGGACCGTGCCACTCGTGTTCGGGTGGTACGCTTTGTGTTCTTGTTCATAACAGCTCGCTGCTACCCTTTTCAGCATTCCTTTTCACTTTCAAATTCTTTGAACGGTTGCAAGAGCGCTCGGTTTCAAAGGAATTCGTTCACAACTTTGAATTCTGTTATCTATTTTTTGTATGTAATATGCAATACGTATGCATAGAATAGTAGAAATATTTTAAAAAATTGTAAATAAAATGAAAATTCAGATATAGATTATGGAGTAAAGAAATTATGAATTTTTATTAATTAAAGATTAGGAAATTCCTGTTATAAATTTGGCCTTGAAAATATTAGTAGCGGATATTCAATACATTCTGGTGGATTAGGGAATTCCCGTCTTAAGTATTTCTTTGAAACTATTAAGCGGGTAGGTATTATGCATATTGTTCTACCATATTCATGGTAATTCATTGCAAACAAAATGTGTGACCAACATATCAACATACAAATGAAATGCAACACGCTCTAAAACTTGCGCAGTCGAATCGCACAAATATTTACGAAAATTTTGTGAAAAGGAATGCAGAAAAACTAGACTCGAGTTACTGGACTCTTTTTGCCCGTGTGAATGCACAGAGCGACACCAAAAGAGAATTTGAAAAAAATTACGGTCAAAAGAGTCCCAATGTAAAAGCCGTCCAGTAGGTCTGACGTTTAGCAATTGGAAAAAGAGGGACGGCCAGATTAAAATCCTACAGAAAAATATGTAAACAGAGAGATTTGTGCTGCTGTTGAAGATCACTATTCACATATTCTTTTGATTACGTATTGAAAGTTCAAAAATCAATTGTTTAATATATCACAAAAAAATAGTATAAAAAGTTTCTGCATATGTTTAACGGATACATGTATAAATAAATAAATGATGGGTATTTCAATTTAAATTCCCAAAAATTATTATTTTGTCCGATCTGGCTACAATGGAAAATGTTATAGAAAACGCTAATTTTCAGGTGCTCTCACACTGGAAAGAGTTGGGCATCCCATTCTGCTCTTTGAATCGAGAGAGAGCTGTCAAAACCCACATTTTTTATAACATTTGCCAATGTTGCCACTACTGTAAAAAATCGATTGGGTATTTTAAAAATACGTTTTGGATATTTTGCAATTTCCACACTACCATTGAGGTATGCAATTAGCGCGTTACCGATATTATTTTTGGGTGCTCGGTTCCCCAGTAGACCTATATCACCCATATACTATATAGATATTTACTTATGAAAAATAAGTCGTAGTACTAATATATAATACTATGCAAACATATAAAACTATAAAAAAACAAAACAATTCGTAAAAAATATCACATCTGTATAAAGTATAACAAACAAACCAAAAAATTATAAACTTATATGAAATATATACACGAAGAAAGAAAACATTTCATAAACAATACCACATTTGTATAAAAATAACACAATACAAAAATATGTATATAAATAATAAAAATATAAAAATACATAAATTAATAATAAAAGTAAAATATATATACAAAGAAACAATACATTTCACAAGCAATATCACATTTGTATGGGAAATGGATAAAATACAAACATTTCCCATTTATATAAAAAAATAAGTAAACAAAATTAAATATTACTAACACGGTCACGGTCATTACACACACTTTCTATTAATTGATACGAAGTATTAAAGGAAAAACTTTCGTTATTGTTAATAGGTTCGCAGTTTCCGTTCGTTACTAAATTAGCGTAACGCAATCCCCACGTATTCCTTAATAAATTGCAGAACATGTAAGGTGTTATCCTTACACTTCTACCACCGCCTCTCCTTATTTGTCCAAAAGAATTTTCAAGACTGTCTTGACATAGCCGTCTCGTCTGTATATGTTGGAAGCCTGAGCGTGACAAGAATCGCCACAATCGTTTTAAGCTATTTATATTAAGGATCCAACCCTTAAGGTAGTTGAAGGAGGAAGTAATGTCAGCCCCGGTGTCATCGCTAACCCTAATTGTCTTTAAAAGTTTTATAGCCTCATCTAGATTAATTTTGAGGTACGCCTCATCTAATAACTGAATTTGTTCGGTCGTTGCCGAAAAAACTTTTTTGCTAGGCAAAATAGCTTCAAAATTGCTACTATTAAAAATGTCAAACAATTTATTAATAAATAAAACATATTCCGACGTATTGCAAAAACTAGGCGAAGGACAAGTTAAACGACCGGAACTATAAATGGATAACATTCCGGAAGCGACTGTGTCACTGAAGACTTGTCCTGCAAGTTTGACACTCATTTTTTGAAAATTATTGGGAAAAATATGTGCATCTGAAAGTTTCGGTGCACAACGAATAGGATTTTGTAAATCTTTTTTATAAAAGTGTACTATATCGGACCAACTTATCGGACGAGGCTTGAAATTTACTTTATTTTTAGACTTTTCGAGACAATTTCTTGTATTTTCCAAAAGGTGGGAGCAGTCATTGAAAAAAAATATATCCTTGCCCATCAGTATGGGTGTTCTTCTGAAACACCCAAGAGAGAAAATTAGATCACTGATCACAAACAAAATGGCATAGATTAAGACCTATGTTTTGCAACTGGGTAATGGCCTCAAAAATATATTTTTTGGCTACATCCCCTTTACAGGAACCATGGACAATAAAATATGATAGGGGGTGAGACCACGGCGCTCCACCAATACCTTCGATCATCAGAGTCATTGCACTATTACCTATTCTACTTGTGCGATTTTCATCGCCATAATCCTCAACCTACAATTTTGTCAAATTTTGGTAAATATTGCATGTGACTCTTAAGTGCCATTTCATCACACAAAATTGACACGAATTTTTGTTCCAGACTAAAGCCCCGTCTTCTCAACTCTAAATACCTAATGCTGCTACTATTACATCCTGGATCACGGGGCCATGCCGAAACAAACTCGTCCAGAGTTCTCTCATACGGAAACCTAAGGATTGGCTTAAGGTGTCTATGAGCTAAAGGTGAAAGGAAGTACACACCTAAAGCCATTGTTTTAAAATAATTGTCGTATTTACGGCCGTTAGGGTTTCGGTTAACATTTTTAACATTATTTTGCACAATAGCGCTTATCTGTGGAGGAAAATTACTACAAAAGTGACCTATTACATCAAAACCTTCCTCTTTCTCCTTTCTTTGTAATCTTTTATATTTCCTTGTGATCCTTGCCGTAGGTTTGTTTCTAAACCGCTAACTAAGGTCCATTCACGTTCAACTTTCCACGCTTTACTTAACAGTTCACAACGAAGAGCAAAAAACAAAGGCTATGCCACATGCCATGGTATAAGGGAGTAGCGAAAGTCCCATTCACAGTAGCTTCCACCTCTGAGGCGTACGTTCACAATAAAACCAACATGGCGGCCATGGTGAGTTAGGGTGGCGAGGGGTTAAAACGGGTTGCGCATAGCAGAAAACGCCATAATAATGATTTATAAATATTTTAAATTTTGGTTATTAATTGATGTTTAATGCTAACAATATATGATATTATACCATGTTGATATAGGTAAATATGCGGCATATTTTTAAGCATTTTAATTAACTTATTAATGGACAAACTGAAAATTCAATTTAACTATGAGTGGACGGGAATAAATAACTATTGTAACAGAATTTGATATTATAAGTTATAATAATTTATATAATCAAAAAAGCAAAAAATTTTATCACAAATTTTATTTACGTTTTATAATTTCATTTATTATTATTAAATTATATTTTTCAGCATTTAGCGATGGATATATGTACAATATTTTATTACAACTCTTGACATAAAAACTTATCATATTATTATATAGTTCTGTAGATAATAGTAGTAGATAATATAAATTTTATTTCTTTAATAATTTTCAAACTTTTAATCAAAATTAGTTATAATATTATACTTAAATATAAAAAAAAATGCAACATAAAATATAAAAATAAATATTCACTTGATGCCATCTCCTCCTCTCAATAACTCTGCGTATGTCTTTCTCCAATCAGTGGATAGTTCTGAATTTAAAAATGCAAATGTAAATTAACAGTACTGACATATCAAATGTGAGTGTATTGGTGAACCCATCAGCAGTTTCTTGTAGGGTACGTTTAGGCCAATTATGGAATGTAAACAAATTGTCAAATGACATTTAGGGCTGACAAAATATGTCTTCAAATACTATCGATTAAACTAGAGTAGGCACCGATTATAATGAGTGGAACTGTGTTTTCGTTTGACAGATTTTGTATGGATGAAAACACAAGTTTTCGCGTGAAAACCTCTTA